GAGGTGCAAATAAAGGAAAATATTAACCAATCAGAATCGTAAGACGTTAATTCTGACTGAATGTCTTTTGCACAAAGCCGAAATTGTTATAAACAGAAAAAAAATATAGCAGTGTATAAAAATTCTCCTGTACATTTCGTACAGAAAGATTTTTTTTTCCATTTTTTAAATTCGGTTATAAATTTTTAATACCCGACTTCAATTTCACGATTTCTTATTTTTTAATCGGTTGATATTATTTTAAGTGGCATTTCTTTATTCGCTTCCCGGGCTGACCAAAGGGCTTGTCATATCAATTTCATTTATGAAAAACTGTTTATCATACATTTTATTACAATTTTATCCGTACAGAAACTGCGAAGAAACGCTACGGCAAACAATTTCTTACATATGAAAACAAAACAATAATCATTTTTCAATTTTAATTAGTTTCAAGTTTGAATTTGCACAAAAGATTTTAAAAAATTTTTTTCTTTGTATAAAAAATTCAGCTTAAACTACGTTATACACAAAATAACAAACTGTTGCATTACATTTTTTTTCAAAAACAAATTGTTTGAGCACAAAAGTGATACTGCGACTGAAAAGTGAAAAAAAGTTGGAAAATTTTTTGCAGCAATATACTAATTGCTCATCATACATTACTCTCTCCACGTATGAAAATGTAACTTTCTTGACTTTTTTCCGTATAGAATTGTATTAATTGAATTTTTTGTGATTGGAGGTCAACCTTAGTTTCTTTGAGAGTTTCGCATTTTTTTGAGATTTTGATTTTTCAATTCTGATTGGCTAAAATCAACTGAATAATTTCTTTTGATATTTGGTCCCTTCATCATGAGAAATGGCACCTCTTACCAGAATTGTTGGAATTTAAAATATTGACTCGGTTTTTTCTTAGCTTATATAGGCAGACATTTTACATCACTAAGTTAGTCAAAAAAGAATTGAAGAAACTGGTTCCTCATTAACAGATTTTAAGTATCAATTTTTTGCTCCACAATATCTAGTATCTAGTAAAAAGAGAAATAAGTTACTTCATTTCATACTCTTTATTTATTGGGCTCTACTTAACAAAATACCACAAACGCTTTCTTTTTTTTCAGAACAATTTTTATAATTTTTGAGAAACCAATTTTATATGGAATTAAACTTGAAACTGGTTAGGAAGATTGTGAAAAACTCTGAATTTCATGATTTATTCATAAGCTTACGTCGAACTTAACACATGAAATTGAGATTGAATTATTCTCTAGTATGTCCAGAAAAAAAGAGATTGTAGATCGAATAATTGTCCATACAAAAAATTTAAAACCTGTGAGCTCTTTTTTGTTTTCCAAATTATCGTATGTCACAAATGTCATCATTTATTTTCTCCTTCTTTCCGGCTGAAGATCTAGCGTTCTAATAATATGATTTCAGCGCCAACCCTTACAAATTTATTACAAAACCAGTCACAAATATCTTACACAATGATATCAATAAATTCTTTCAAAACAATTTAACATCGAATAAAGTTTTGATTCAATTGAAATATCAGTGGAAAATATACATCCCTACAAAAACAAAAAAGCAAACCAGAATTTATAATCTTTGAACTTTTTAAAACCAAATTGAAAGTTTTCATGAAATTATTAATGAAGATTATTTTTCTTCGGGGAGGAGGATTGGAAACATAATTTCGACTTACAGCAGCGTCGTTCCATTGCACTTCAAGTTTAAACCAAGGCAAGATGCAATAAAATTCCAACTAAGACTGTCCAAATTTAATTCATACATGTCACTTCTAATCAAAAAACAACTTTCCTTTATATTTACGAACAATTCATTTATCTTCATCTCAAATAATGACGAAATAAAAACTGTAATAACATTTTACCAATCTCATCTATAACGCTCAACATTCACAAACACATAACGGCTAGAAGTGTGCAACTTACATATTTTGGCTTCCGAAAAATTGCATTGATTAACGCATCAACTATTTTGAGCGCATCATTAGACAAAAATTTCAATTTTTGAACACTAATTTTTAGATGAAAAATTGTTGAAGATGAAATTTTTTTTAGTTTCGAGCTTAACTTATCCGGTTCTTTTCGGACTTAATAAAAATCTGGTAAAAAAATAATTAGTTAAAAAATCATTGTTAGCGCTAACATTTAGCGTCAATTTTTTCAAAACTTGGATCAATAAATCAGATGACAGTCAAAGATTTTTTAGTTGATAGAGTTGACAATTAGAAACTTAGCTATTTATGGTTTAAGAGCGCGTAAAATCACTATGCTATATCCTCGAGAATTTTTTTTTTGATTTTTAAAATATAATTCAGAGGTCATAGCGTGTCAAGATGAGAGTGAGCAACCACTTCCGCCAAAACTTCAAACCTTGTGCCTCAGCTGAAGTTCGAAGACTTTCAATTTTATACCACTAAAACTGCTATTTTTCCTCAACAGTCTATGATGTCAACCTTTGTTTGTTTGAGGAGAATGCGCGAAATGGTTGTCAAATTATAACGCGCAGGAGAATGCGCGTTTCACCATCTTTTTTGACAAATCCCTCAAAACTGTCACAAAAAAGCTAGAACGGCTGTTCTTAAAACTATCAACAACTTTTCGAAAACTAGCATGTCAAAAACATTCTATGCACGCATTGTCCCTTTCCTACCAGTTTAAGATTTCACTATCATTTGAAACGTTTTTGGTGGTTAGTTATAAAATTTTATGCTTAATTTTCCGGAAGCCAATTAAATAGCAGGTGTATTTCCACATAAATCTTCGATTGTTATTTCATAGCAAGAACTTTTTATTCTGATTTGAACACATTTTTAAATTAACCCACAGTTAAGAGTTTTTTGTCGGTTTTATTGATGCTCACTGATGCTCTTTTAAAATGTTTTTCCTTCTCTTAAAATGTTTTTGCTCCATTTTTTTTCTTCCGCATTACTCGTTTCAATCAAGGCTAACAAAGTAAAATTTAATTGAAAAAGATTTTTCAGAGTTCATTTTTATAGATCTTTGGGTACTTAACAAAACATGTGTAACCAAATAAATCACTTTAAAATATTTTTTTTTTTCAAAAAAATTGTTTCGAAAAATTCGTTCAAAAAATTGTTAGAATTTTGCTTTGGGGTCTCCTTTAAAGTAGGTAAGTCTTGATAGTGGAACTCGAGGATACCTTTTCAAATAATTTCTCTGTCCACCGTTTAATTGGAGCTTGTTAGAAGAAGTTTTTATAAACTTTTTGAAAATGTTGGCTTGAGAAACCAGGTCCAAAATTTCAGCCATAATAGCAGATCCCAGTGGCCTTGAAAAATTCAAACTGAAATCAAGTTAATGTCTCATAAAAGGGTTCTTGTTAACTATTTCCCCCCTTGTTTCCATTTTCAGACATTCATTTTTCGCTGTCACATTTTCAATAGCTCAAAACAATATTCAGAAAACAAATTTAATCAAAATTTTCTTTGTAGGTATTATATAAATAGAGGGTAATACAAATATTAATGTGCGAAAATGAAAACCCAATTAATTTTGACATTTTTAAAGGCATATTTTATGCAGAAATGGTTGTCAAATAAAACATGCATAAGGGTGGAAATAGTTAACAAGGTCCAAAGAGGGATGTTTAACAAGATCCCATAAAAGTATAAACTCTTCTTCACAATAATCATTTCGAAAACAATCACAAGAGGCAGATTTAAGAGGGCGGGCCCTCTCCCCTTAGGGACCCCCCCCCCCACACGCCAACCAATGATTCCCCCTTAGGTATCAGTTTATTACATCTAAGTTAGGCCGAACATCCGTAAAAAATTCTTGAAGGCCTCTTTGGCACCAAATACATTAATTTTCAAAGGGGGCGCTCGCCGAAAAAAAAGTTTTTTTTTCTCAAAATTTTCCAAAAATTGCCCAAAAACGGCTTTTTGCCCTGTTTTTTTTTCTTCAAAGTTTGCTTTTGGCGCAAAGTTTTTGGTCAAAATAGGGTCTTTATAGTGTTCTAGGAGTGCTCGGAAAGTCATCTTTACCTGGCCAAACTGTAATGATAGGCTCATAATTTTGTGTCTGAATGTTCCTGGATTCCTAAGACAAGTCTTTAAACATGTTAAAATTTTGTCGGAACGATCAAAAGAAAAAAAAGAACAAAAGAAGAGCAAAGGGAGCGTCCTTGTTGCGGAATCCGCTGACAATGCAAAAAATACAGTTTGGCCTCGTAATGATCAAATTTTTCAATTTTTCAGGTCGACAAATTTTTCGTTTTTTTTTTTGAAAATTCGGTCCCCCATCGAGAAAATCTTAGATCCGCCCGGGAGCTCTAGAGTCGTGTTTGAATACTAAAATTGAATAATTGGTCTCTCAATTAAGAAAAAAACAATGTAGCAGTTATTCTAGTTTTACACTAATTCACGCTGATTAGATGAGAAAAAGGTAGAAAATTAAACTTTAATTAACACTTTAGGCTATATTTGCTTTCTCTCTCGCTCCTCGAATAGTCGTTAAAATGAAGCAAGAATCGAAAACTAAATTATTGTGAAAAAATTCAACTTTATCCCTAGCTTATTTACCATACAATTAGGGCCTTCTGGTTCAATTAATACCTTAGTGGAAATTCTGAATACTCGCTTATAAATACGGTTCAATTGTAAAATAAACCTGATTTCTTGTGCATTGTATTTCTTTCTCAGGTATATACAATTACTATCCTATTTTTACTTTTCCTTCAGACAAAATTGCAGCGTTTTTGTTGCAGTTTTTTTAATGTGAATTCGAACATCGGATCTTGTTAAATATATGCTCCCCTTTTGCAAGTAGGGGGAGCAAATTCGTTACAAGGTACAAATTTAGTATATGATTAACTATTCAATTCTGTCTTCATAGTTGAGGTGGGGAGGGGGGAGGGTCAATTTGTTAGTATAGGTAAACAAGATCCCAAAAGTACTCAAAAACTTTATTGATTTGTTTCAGCAATTGAATTAGTCTTTTTAAAAACTTGAAACGGTTTGTTCGTTTTAGCTCGTCGTCACCCTACAAGTTATTGGAGTTTTTGAATTATAATTACGTGATTATCAGCCTTATCCTACAAGTCGAAACATTCCCAAAATTCAACTTATTGATATTAATTTTGTTTCAACTTGCAGTATTTAAACTGAAATTATGTTCCACTAAGTTTACTTGTTAAATTGCCAGGGTCTTAGAATCAAAGACTAAATTCATTATTTATTGTGCTGCTTCATCTTTTAAAACTTCTCATCAACGTGTTGTTTGGCTTTAATTTTTTCTAAATTAATATCAGTCTTTAATCTTTTTTTTGCAAATTAGCAATAAAACTGATTTCAGTCTACAAATCTCTGCCTATCTTCAGAAACATGGAGTTTTGCGCAGGTAAGAAAATCGTCTGTCAACATATCGATTGCATGTTCCTAAATGATTTTTATCCACAAAATTAAATCTGTCTAAATTGATGGCGTATGTAATGCGTGCAAAATTAGTTTTCTTTAGTCCAAGTAGAAGTTCTTTTTTTTAAAACAATATTATGAAATAAACTGAACATGGAATACCTTATTACTAGTTGAATTTCAATTTTTTAAAGAAAACTAACAAAAGCAGGTGACATCAGAAAAAAAAGGAAGAGCAAGTGAGTTCAAAACACGGCATTCCGAATACAGAAGAATTTAACAATATTCGTATTGAAATTGATCAGGAGCTTATTAACAAAAATACAGACCCATTAAATCTAAAAAGTGTTGTAGAGAATGAAAATACTATGTGTTTTGCAAGCATTTCATCCCAAGAACTTTAAGAAATATTTAGAAGCCTGAAGAAAAAACAGCCTTGATAATTACAACCAAAGTAACAACCAAATCAAAAAATTAAGTCCGGTTATATCTGCGCTACTGAGTTGCCTTTTTAATCAAGGTGTAGAGTTGTCTTATTAACTTTCAATTTTCATTTTTGCTAAAGTTGAGCCAATTCAAAAAAATCATACCTTGTCAGATTGTGGTAACTACGGACCTATATCTATATTACCAATTATGGGGAAAGTGTTCAAAAAATTGAATCATAATCGCTTGAACGAATATGATGTATTAACATCATGTCTGTACGGATTCCAAAAACAAAAAAGCACAGTTTATGCTATCTTAGAACTCACTGAACGAATATTGGAGAACTCAGAAGTTAATGTTGGCTCGATTTGTACGTTGATAGATCTTACAAAAGCGTTCAACACAATTGATCACAAATCTTACTAGAAAAATGTGAACAATACGGTTATCGAGGTAAAGTTAATAACCTTTTGAGGTCATACCTTGAAAATCGTAAAAAGTATCTTAGTTATAGCAATTCATTATCAGATACTAAAACAATCTACTATGGTGTACCACAAAAATCATTCCTGAGTCCTTTGTTGTTTTTTCTGTATATAAAACATTTGCCAAGCGTCTGTAGGCATAACAAAAATGTACTGTTTGCTGATGATTGCGCATTGTATACAACAACTAAAACAAAAAATGAGCAGCAGGTGAACTCTGATACAAGCAATGTTGGAATTTGGAGTATAAGCTCACCATAAACAAAGATAAAACAGCCACCTTAGAATTTAATAGAAAGAAATTTTCAAACAAAAGAGCCCATAAATACTTAGATCTAATAATTGATGACAAATTAAATTTCAAATTAAAATTTCGATAAATTTGAAAAGGGCAGCCAAATCTTGCTCAATGATTTATCAATTCAGTTATTAATTCAACAGGTCTACACTGCTCAAGATATGCAAAAGATATAATTAACCAATAAATCTTTTTAGTGTACTGATCTATGGCACTAATAAGACAGACTTTTAAAAACTAGAAAGTCAGAGAAGCCTCGAGTAGAGGAATTGTTTTGAAATTAAAAAGTGGGAAAGTCTTGAACATATTCCCGACAAACATAAACTCTGTATGGTTCTAGAAGAACACATATATGAGCCTTTAAACTCAAGTTTAAAATTAGAAGACGATCTTGTGGAAATAAAAAAAACTTCATGAGTACATAAGTGAACAGGAGATTACAGATACTATCAAAACAGGCAATATTTTGCAGCCAAAATAAGTTTGATAAAAAAGCAGTAAGGAAAATCAATAATAGGGTTGATATTTTGCATAATAATTTCTTACAGTTGGATAAAAACATTCTTCTTGAAGCTTCAACAGCTACCAATGAATCTTTGGACTCGTTTTTTAAAAATAAAATAAGAGACATACATTTGTGACAACGAACATTTTTCGAAAATGTTATGGTAAATTTCCATTGTTTAAGTACTTTTTGCTCATCTTATTTTGATTGTTAGACAACAACAAAACAAATACATTTTATTTTTCTTCTTAATTTTGTGATAGTTAAAGAAAATTTGCAGTCTTTCTGTCTATGTGATCTAAATTTAAAAAAATGACGAATAGATTTTGCTCATGGAGATGCCAACTAACAGGCTGACGCCTTTCTGGTACTCTCCCAAGCCGAAAATAATTGTAAATTTATTTTAAAATGGAATATGTGCTAATAATTTTTGGCTTGAAAATTAAATTATTATTATTAGGAGAAAAAAATAGCAAAAACTGAAAAAGGCAAAATAATTTTAAGAAAACTTTTCTTATACTGTTTTTCTCTACAGAAATAATGACGTCTCGGCTTATGCAGGGAAAACTACTACCAACTGTGATCTCTTGAACATGGTAAATCTTGATAAAAAAAATTCCAAAATTTTAAAAATAGCCATGACATCCGCTATCGATTGAACTTTTAATCTCACGTTTTACAGAACACTTTATCAGAAAATGAAAGAAAATTCTAAAAAGAAGAAAAATTCCCGACATTGAGTTTTTCGAACGCGGAAACTTTTTCGTACAAATTCCACAATTTAGTCAGACACATTATTATCAAATAAGAATTTATTATTAACTAAAAATTGAAACCTTGCTTTTAAAACGCTATTGGTCGGGAGCAAGAGCTTAAATGAACACTTTTAATGATCACCTTTGTTTGCAACTTAAGTCGGAAAAAATGAATCGTAATATACCACTAAGCTATGCTTGTGTAAGCAATCGGAAAATGCGAACAAAAATTTTAACAAACATTTCGAGGCAGGGGAAAGAAAAAAAGACATTTTTCAAGCAAGGGGGCAATTGAACTATTTGACAATGCCAAATTTATAATCCATCCAAAAAATTGCCAAAACAGTTCTATTATTATACTAATTTTGACCCCTAGCGGTACTAAATTAGTACTTCTAAGGTAGTAAAAACAATGAAAGCACACAACGCCATGGTTCTTTATTCCTGAAGTGGTCTTCTTAACAATAGTTAGTTTTGAATGCGGCGAAATTGGATTGTTACCAAATGCAACGAATTGCGAAATAACTAATTGTGACCTTTTAGAGGCTAACAAGGACTTTTAGATAGCTGCTGTATCCAGCAAAATTCAGTTGAAACTTTAAAAAAGCAAAAAGGAAGTATTTAAAACATTTTGGACAGCTATTTTAACCTCTGTTGTGATCTTACATCAGGTTTTGCAAACGTAGGCGCTACGCGCAATACACCGAAGGCATAGAAACTGAAGCAAAAACCAAACAATAAAATAAACAAAAATAAATATGTACATACATAAATTATAAATAAATATAAGCAAACTAAACATAATTAAATAAATAGAAGAACAGATAATTAAATAAATAAAGATGAACAAATAAAGAAACAAACATACGCAATCACGTGACATAGCGCGATATAGTCCAGCCCACATGATAATTGATAACTGTGGACGTTATTTGTCGACACATGACAACAGACAACATTAAAAAAAAAACCCGTTACACGATACCATAACACCTTGACTAAAGTCTTCGGTGTAATTATTGCAAAACATACTTAGTTAATTAACCGGTCACTCATATATGACCTTCATTAGCCATTCTCTCCGGCGGAGAGAATGATCTCTCATTGTTTTAATGTTTTAACTTATCGACTAATTCATCTTAATTCTTATTCTTTTTAATAGTTTTAACCTAGAATTAGCTACAACAAAGTAACATTTTATCAACCTCGAAGGAAATAATTTTTTATTTATGAAAAAATGACCCAAAAAACATTCAAAAAAATGAGTATCTTTGCAAGCAATGAGAGGTGAGATATTAATTTAATTGGTTTTTGTTTTAAAATGAAAATTTAAGAAGTTGCGCTCAGTTTCCATAATAAATTTTTATTTTATAATCGAAAGGTCACATTTATTTTATAAACGAGGACAAGTATATTTCCAGCTTACTTAAAGCTGACTGTTTGAGCTTCAAAAACGTTCTTAGAAAAGTTTAAAAAAGATAATCTTTGGCTGCGATAGACAAACGCAAGGGAGCATATTTGTAGGAAATTGTAACCAAGGCCAGATTCGATCCTCACATCTTCGGACCGAGGGCACTGTTTCCAACTTCCACTAAAAAAAACTTGAATCTGAGGACAATAATAAGCAACGTAAGATCGATTCCGTAAAGTTTATGCAGAATTTATTAGTACGTGATTGCCATTCTTGACTTCCAAAGTAGCATTATTTACAACTGTAAAAAGGGTTTCGCAGTTTACCAAGACACTCCGCTTTTCTAAATACGACCGAATCTTCACCGAAGTCTACGAATTATTCAGTTATCATCGGTGGGTTTTTTGTAATTTCTGAATAACCGACACTTGTGTTGCACTCATTCAAAATCTGTCACATAAAATATATTCTTTACTTTAACTTAGAGGAAAACTAAAACAAGCTTCGAATGGTAGAAAAAAGCTCTTCTCATTGTCATTTTTGAATGATTTTTAATGCTTATCATGCTGAATCTAGCGATTCGAACTTTGGAAAAAAGACCGACTGTCATTGGGGAAAAATTAGGGATCTTTTTAGTTAAAGTCTGCTTACGAGTTTTATCGCATCAAAAATGATGTAGAAAAAGAAGAGCTTTTAATCGTAAATACATTTCAAGTCAGGCCAAGTTAGTTTTGTTTGGGTCTACAAAGTGAAGTGCTTTGAAGTCGTCTATCTTTTTGCCTTTGTGGTCGTAATGCAGTTCTCGCAGACATCTCTCGCAGAGGAAACAGGGACTGCGGGGAAGCAATTCGTCGTTCACCTAAAAAAATATTCACAAAATCAAGATCTTAGTGACAATTTCCAACTATTGCAGAAAGAGAAAAATTGGCTGCAAGTTTTAATAAGTCGGCTATTGGGCCATAATTATTTATTGAGTCCCATAAAAGGGATCGTTAACAAGATCCGTGATGGAAGCAAATTGTCGTTCACATAAAATTTTTATTTACATTTTTACAAAAATTGGTTACAAAATTGAAAAAGTCGCTTATGCTCAAGCATTGAATAAGTCCACTATGGGTCTAAGCAAATTGTCGTTAACCTTTTTGTGAACGATATTCAAAACGAAATTTTAATTAATTTAAATAAGACAGGATATACGAATCAATCATTAGGTTCTTGGTGAACTTGACAATCTAGAAAGCCAGATAATTTTTAACAGAGTCGCTTCGCAAACACTAGCAAGAAAACGAAAAAAAAATGGCTCTAAAATGTACAATAAGAAATTGAAATAAGTCTGGAATTAGGAAAAATTAGGCTACATCTCGGATTTGCTCTGCTGCGAACTAGAATTTATCACGAAGTTTCACGAACTAACCACTCAGCCACGGGAACTTAATAAATCACAAACATTCGCCACAAACAAAGCAGAGAACAGAATCTATGAAAATTCCAATGCTACAGGTCGTGATTATAGCAAAAGTGCCACCGAATAAGTGAACAATTTTAATGAACACTTTTATTTGCGAGTTAGGCTAGAAAAAAATGCGGTTCGTACTAATAGACTAACGCTCACAAGCCAACTAGTGTAATCATCCAATAATTCCGAAAGCAATCTATCTCTTAAAACTTAAGCCAAACAAAGTAGGTAACAACCAGTTCAAATAAACGATGAAAGTTAAGTGGTAAGGATGCATAAAAACAACATGAGCGGATTTAAGGATGCCAGACAGAATTTCAACGCTTCGTCGCCTATATCGTCCCTCTTGAACCATACTTTACAAAAACTTTTCTCGGACGGGTTAGAATTTTCTATGGACTTTATTCAAACGCCCTCCGAAGATTGTTTTCATGATACTCTTCATTGCATGTTCTTTATCATCGGAGGAAATGTATAAGATAGCTGATGCTTTTGTTTTTGTCATCTTGTTGACAAAGATAGCTTTACATAAATTTTGAAGGTTTGTCTTAATTTATTTTCATGGAAGCGGGCTAGAGACGAAGATAGAAACTAAATTTTTATAAGTAGAAGTGCAATTTGGTTCAATTATACTGGCCTGATCTGATTAAATGTAATTCCAATTTAAAAAATGTTACACAATCAAGTCTCCAGGGAAATAAATCCTTCTTGACCTCAAAAAAGGTTCAATATAATTTCAAATAAATCCAAATTGCATTCAACGAAAGTCTTCAAGGCAAAATGATTGCATGGGAGCTATACTTTCATCTGGTCAAAAATTGCAAACAGAAACGAATGAAAAAAAATCATTTTGCAATCCATGCAAGGATAAAAGAAATATGACAGCTCGTATCAAGGCGATGAATGTTCTGATTTCCTTGTAAAGTAAATTACGGAGATTTTGCTAAGCTAAGCTTCGTGTGAACTATTAAAAACCGAAGTTTCGTGTGAACTATGTCTATGCTGAATCTAACAAGACTGCTCGCATCAGGTCAAAACCCTGAATCTTCAGATTGCATTTTAGTTTCTATGGAGTAGTTAAGATCTAAAAAAAACATGACAAATCGCTCGTTAATTGTCTCAAATTGGCAATATTTAAACCCCCATAATTTGCCGGGAAATAATCACAGGTGAAAGGTTTTTTTTTAAAAATTTGAGTGCAGGACAACAAAATCTTTCGAATGAAAAAAAAAATGCGTCAGAATTGCTAGTTAGAAAGTCGAAACTTGTATAGAGAAAAAGAATCCACCCCGATTACAAATATTGGGTCATTTTTGTTCGAAAACTGTCGGAACAATAACGAATTTTAAAAAGCAACTATCTTGCATCGGTTCAATTTTCGAAGTATTTCTCAGTCGGATTAATTAGCCGGCTGCGCTATGCCTTGATGTAAATAAAGTACGCATTAACTATCCCAAATTATCTCACAACTTTCAAACCCACATTTGGTAACGGTAACACAAAATGGTCGCATTAAATTGTCTTTCTTATTTTTATTTAGGCCATCAATGCTTTTCAGACAATACCAAAAACTCTGACAAACATGGTAGTAAAAAACTTTTTTCTGAGAAGTCAAAAAGCCTGATTTTTTAGCTACCACTCAGCAAAATATGTTAAATCACTTTTTTAAACTAATTTTTGACTGATTCCATAGTAATGTGAAAAAAAATTCATATAAACCGCAGTTACGCTAAAATATCATAATTTGGTTGCTTAGGCAGGACCACTAGCGTAATTTAAATTTGTCAGTGATTGACGCAGTCGGACTAAATTACACGCATGATAAAACTACCCTGATTTTATATGCTTTCCCACTTCAATTTGGGGCTCTACTCAACTATTAAATAATCAAAACACGCCCTGAGCTGAGATAACAAACCCGCCCTAGGCGTTTTTATTACTAAAAATGGAAAACGTTCATGCAGCTCCACTTAAATAATAAATCAGGAAAAGTAACCCAACTGTAAAGGCCCTAAAGCTGAACCAAATGCGGATTTCATTTTCCTTTCTCAAATGTTTTTTAAAAAGTTCCACGAAACTACTCTTAAAAGAACTTATTAAGTAGAACTGCTTGCAATGCAAGTAACTGAGAATATTCCGACCACAATTACTTGAATTTGAAATTTCAAAAACAAGAGGATAATTTTGTATAAGAATGAAAAAAATGAATTAATCAAACTATCAAACTATGAAAGACTATTCTTTCGAAATTTAGGTGGTAAAAGAAAAAAAATAGAATTTATGTTCTTCTATCGATGTGATCGGAACATTCTGCACTTCTTGCACAACAACCGGCTATCCTTAATTGCAATGAAAAGAAAATTAAATCATGAATTTTGCGGAACAAATAACAAAATGGGACCAATGCGTGTTTCTGTCTTTTTTCCGGATGAACAACCGACAAGATTTTTGCACAACAACCGACCACCCTCGTTCTAATGAAAAAAATAAATATTGAGATGTTAAGACCAAATAACAAAAACTAGTTGGACCAAAAACAACAGCTATTTTTTGGTCCGAAAACTGAACCAAATAACAACAACTAATTGGACCAAAAATTAGCAACAACCACTGGCACCAAAAATAACAACAAAATTTTGGTCCAAAATTGGAACAAATAACAATCACTAATTTTTGGTCCAAAATTGGACCAAATAAAAACAGCTAATTGTCGTCATCCACGCCTGTGCTGGCCAATTCTTTCGCGAGTAAGTCGGTGGACAAGTCTGTGTCGGATGCTCAAGGCATTCAACCTATTCTTCGAGATGCTACTTCGGTGGTGGATCTTACGGCCTCTTCCTCTACGTCCGGAAATTTTCCTCCGGAAGTGCCCATTAGTGTCAAGTCGCAGGCACCTTCTCCCGCTAAATCTGCTATTATATATTGCCCGGATTTGATTCCCATCTCGTCGGATGATGAATCGTCAGTCCCGAAGTTACAGGAATGCTCCCGAAGTTCAAATTTGGCAGTTTCCGGTCCATCCAACCGTGACAGGTCAGGGTTTACCTGGGATCTTGATGGAAATATCTCCTCAGCGTCCAACTCGTCGCGCACTTCGTCCCGCCATAAAAAGCAAACATCCTTTTATGGTAGCCCAGTTCGTCACTCTGTGAATCTAATTGATTCACCTAATCCAACTAGCTCAACTCAGGCATCCCCGGATAGAAGGGTCCGTTTCGCAAAGGACAAACAACAAGTATATCTCCAGTCGGAACATCACAGGGTCTGTTCTCCCAATGATGCGTTATACTAGGAAGTTCACCGGTTTTCCGAATGTAAACTCGTCATCGGATAACCCGTTGCGACGAAATGAAAATTAAACTTTTCTACTTCTTTTGATGGTAATAATCTATAAAAACTCTTAGTTTCTGTAATTACTCAACCGTTGAGTCCTTTCAGTCTTTTCACCTTAAATTGTCATTACTGCAGTTACTTTTGTAAAATTTATGTTCCATTTGAATTTTCCCAAGAGGGGGAAAAGTGGTGCGGTGTTGTTTAATGAGTAGAGCGGTATTATTCATTGTTACTTATGACGTCATCCTAATCTTAGCCGTTAATCTATTGTTGGTAATCAAGGTCGTTATCGACCTGTCAAATCTCGGTTCAATTCTAAGCAAGCTTATTCACTCACTCTCTAGTCGACTTATGAAAGATTTAAGTAGACACAATTTATTTTCATGACATGATTTGTTAAAGTACTCATTTATTTATATATCAAGATGAATTAAGTCTTGAATAGCTATCTCAGTTCTTTGAGTTATCACAGCACCAAAAACAACAATTAATTTTCGGTCCAAAAATTGGACCAAATAACAACAACTAATTGGACCAAAAACAATAACTAATTTTTGGTGCAAAAATTGGACAACTAATTGGACCAAAAACAACAACTAATTGGACCAAAAACAACAACTAATTTTTGGTTCAAAAATTGGACAAGAACTAATTGGACCAAAAACAACAACTAATTTTTGGTTCAAAAATTGGACCAAATAACAACTAAATTTTGGTCCAAAAATTGAACCAAAAATAAACAACAACTAATTTGACCAAAAACAACAACTAACCAGCATCCATGAAGCAGCGTATTGTGCACATGCTAGACACTTTCTCCTGTGGAAGTAGCCCACCCCTGTCACTCTTGGATAGTCCGAGTATGACTGCATGTCGTGGGGGTGGTAGAGACGCACTGAAGTCACCATCCACACGTGCTCACAAGTGCCTGGAAAGAAAAAAAATCCAGTTGAAAAATTTTCTTTAGATACTTAATTGACCTGCACGTTTACAGACAAAGCTACCCTTAGAGCTCGAAAAAGATGTCTTGTTTGACCGTCCACTTGAGCTGGAGGTTTACCGTTTACCCATTGGTTGTGCTGTTAATTGGACCGCCTTTAAGAAGAAGCGAATGAATCGTTCAACGAAGCTCTTCAAAGGAACTTAAAATTTTCTTATTGTCTGAAAAATTAGCTTTTGCATGCAAAAGTTGTCTGAAAAGAGTCATATGCTCTTTTTAGTTATTTTTGTTTGTCCGAACTGTTTGCTACCAATTATAAACACAAAAGTAAATAACACACTACGCTTCGCTTGTGTAAACATGTACCTTGATGTAGATACAAATAGGGTTTTCCCAACTGCAGAGTAAGATGTTCAAAGGAGACTAAGTGCATGGAGGTTGGACACTGGTTGAGTCCCTTCCACCCCCTGTCTCTCTCCTCGCTCCACTTCACTATCGTGTCACTCAATCTGATGGCCTCGGGTTCACGCAGGTCATCAAAAAAAGTGCCCTGAAATGCATTGTTTTGAAACATTTCCTGGAAAAAATGTATTTTTTTGCTTTAAACTCACTAAAAAATTTTTATTTATGGCCAAACGAAGCAAATCGAAACGTGCAAAAAAAAACTAGCAAAGCACATTTTTTAGAATAAATTTCTAGAAAAAAAATAAAATTAACCATTTAACCTTTAACTCAATTCTATTGCTTTCATGAATAGCCAATTGAAACCAATCAAAACAAGGATAACCGGTTACTGTGCAAGCAGCACAAAATGTTCCGACCAGTCTTAAAAAATTTTCCAATGAGTGTCGTTTTTTCGGCTTGGTGTGATAAAGGAATATGAACGGAAAAGCTTAGGCATTTTCGTCAGTCATTTTAAAACATGCTAATTGCAAAACAATTTTTGAAGACAATTAATAAGAAAAACAAATAAACATCCAAAAAAATTTGGTTTCTAAGATGAAATTAAAAACTCCAAAAATTAACTTCATTCTTCATTAGAGTAAAACTAAATTTTCAAGTAAATTAAGCATAAATAAGCTAATTTAGGCCTGTTCACTCGCTCGAAATTAGACGAAAATCCAAATATTTCAAACCGGTTTTTCTCGACACTGAGAAAACTTTTCAGAAATTTTGTAAAAAGGTTCGAATCACGATTGAAAGTACTTTAATATGATATATCACTCAACCCTGTCCGAGAATTATTTGTGGTAGCTGATTTTGCTTGGAAAAAACTAAAACACACCCTACTACAAAGTTCCCCCCCCCCCATTTTCAATGGTCGGAACATTAAAAAAACAAGATTTTTCAACAAGATCTTGTAAAACTTCATTACAAATTTCAAAAAACTTCCTGAGTCGAGAAAAAACATTTGACACAGAGGTGAAGTTGCACTTCGCATACACAAGCAAAACTATGACCGACAACGCTACCGGAAAAAACCGAATGAGTAAAATTTTGAGTCTGCAAAATTTCTTAAGTGACGCACGCTAATTATGAGTCTACATAATTGCTAAGTGACGCAAGTCAATTATGACACATTAGCAGTACCAGTCAATTTGAAAAGAAATTTACCAAATAACATGCCTCAATTCTAAAGCGGACGCATTTTAACTAGCATACAAAAAAGTTCATCAAAAAATCCGATCCTGCCCAGGTTGGAACCCTCTTATTTTGCTGCTGGTCTCCTTCCCTACCTCTACGCTACAGAGTGAGTCATGATACCTTGAAGCTAAAGTGCTATTTGTGATATATAGTAGTCTGTGTTAATATCTATAGCATTGGCTGTACTTAATAGCTGGATCAAAATGAACACTTTCAAATGAACATTTTGTAGCAACAATTGCATCGCAAAAATATTTGCGACATAGGTTGAAAAAAAAAGAAAATTCATACTATAACACAAGCTATGCTTGTGTAAAAACCTATAAAATCTCAAGTACATTATGAAAAATCATTTCATTAAAAAAAAATTTTACGATTCAGTTTTTTTAATTTATTTTCAGTATTAACTGTGGTAAGGACATAGCCAACAAACAGTTGCTAAAAAGTCAATCAACGCAAGGAATTAGAAAAAAACGCATGACTAGTTTTTAAAAAAACACTTCAACTTACGAAATTCAAAGAACAAAGCTATGGCCTTTAAGCTCTTGGATCAGCAAGCTTTTGCTGATGAAGCAACTGGATCAGCAAGTATATTTTTTATTTCGCTGGGATATCTGAAAATCTAAATTTCACTTTTGAAACTAGAAGTATATCACGTTTTCGTGACTTTTAGACTTTTGCTGTTTGATAATGGAGTTTGCCTTCCTTTCAACAAAGGAAATGAGTTGAACTTAAGAAAATCAAAAGACAAACCGCGAAAAATCAAATTCCAGCGTGAAAAATAAAATGACATCTTCCTGAAACAAAAAAAATAAACACCAAGACCTATATAAGAGTCTTCACTACGTTCATCGACTCTTAATCAGAACTGAAATTTTCTGGTGAAACGTCTTAAATTTACTCAACTTGCCTCTATGAAGAAACATCCACTTGGGAACTTAGATTTGTAAGTAGGTGCTCTGTTGTATGTGTTGATTCTGGAGCTGAACTCTCCAAAGTGCGTGTGGTCTAAAGAGCAGGGGAAAAAGTCCCGCAGTGAAGACAATCTTTGACTGCTCAGCACCTAAAATAGAATTCAGACAGGCAATTTATAACTAGATTACAGCGACTGGTTCGGAGTAGACGAGTTTAAAATATAGTCATGCGTTCAAATCCCGCTTGGGTCAGGATTGGAGGGGTCCCAGTGTCATCCGTCTCCTCAAGGTGGGAAATGAGAAACATCACCCCATCCCCCCACCCCACAACGGTTGGTCTTGCATTGAGCAGGACCGGAGTCTTACAAAAAAAGTTTAAAATCTAGATCATTTGACCAAACAGATGGTGGACTCAATCTGAAATTAGTCTATGAGTTAGAACCTAATCGGAACCAACTCGAAACGACAAAAAATCCGATACGATATTATAAAAATTACTTAACCATTCATTTAATTATTTCGTTTTTTCCAGCGGACCAAACTTATTTTGCGAGAATTCAATAATAATAACTTTTCTCCAATACTTTTTCCGCACGTAAGGCTTTTGAAAAAGTGGTTTTACAGAAATTCTTTTTTACTATTTATTTTCAAAACTTTTCTGATTAAGAACCGCGTTTTTTTCACTCACAATTGACACTAGCCTCGCTGCTTATATTTTGAACTGCTTCGTGATCGTCAGGTTGATTAGTTAACAACATAATTTTATTTATTCATAGAGCGATTGATATGCTAGAGGTTTAAAAACACCTTAGAAAAAAAACGATATTTAGGTCTGCAATTTGATAGTAGTAAAAATTCTTTCGGACATGAATCACGAAGTTGTTTAAGAAAAACAAAGTTGGAGTCATAAAAACTGAAATGATGCTCACTTCTATTTCGTGGGACACTTTGCACCGGAACATCTCGGGGTAGGGGGAGTCCACTCGCAACACCACAATAGTCAACACCGCCTCGGGGCCCTCAATCCTGGAAACAGATAAAACATAAGAAGAATAAACAGGCAGTACCGGATTTAGAGAGGGGGGAGGGCGGACGCCTCCTCCTTTCAGGTATTCGACCCCCTGCCGACCCAAAGGGTCCTTCCTTTGTACTATTTTAGATATCCATTATTGGCTGAATGACCCTAAAACTTTTCTAAAGGCGCCTTTGGCACCAATATATACTTACTTTGAGGGGGGAGCGCGTGCCAATTTGGTCGACCTAAAAAAAAAGGTCGACAAATTTTTAATTTTTTTTTTGAAAATAAGCCACCCCCCCTCAAAAATCCTAAATCCGCGTGAACATAGATGAAAACATTAGAAGAATAAGCATAGAAAAAAAATCGAAGAATAAACATAGATAAAAATGTCTTGCAACTAAAAAAACATAAATTTATTTCAACGTTTTCGGCAACGCTAATTGCAGTATGTAATAGATTACCTGAAAGATTCCGGAAAAATTATACTGCGGATGAAGACTGAAGCGCACGAAAAAATTATACTGCGGATGAGACCAAAAAAATTAGCCTGCGGATGAAGACTGAAGCGCACTTAAACCTTTAAACAGTCAAATTTTATTTGTATTTCATAATCTTTCCAAGTCCAATTGTAAACATTTGTCCAATCATCACACAGTTAGTACCAAAGATTACCGCTTTTTTGATTAATATCAAAATTCATTTCAATATTGAACACATTGACGCAAATTTTGATACAGCCAACCTTTAAATTACCATTAAAATGCTCTTTTCCACCCCCTCCCCCAACATTGCCAGATTTCTATTTTCTTAGTTGTGTTACGTATTATTATGGCCTAAATGCATGCTGTTACGAATTGAGGTATGAACAACAAATTTGTTCACAATATAGTTAGTTCCTTCACCATGCCAAAATTTATTGGATTACGACTAGGGCCCGGATAAATTGCGTTTGCAATAACGCTATAGCAAACGCAATTTTTGCTTGTTTTTTCTCCGAGACGCAATGTTTGAAATAACGCAATTTTCACTCATTCTACAAGAATTAAACGAAATATATGGCATAACTCACAGTTCTGCAGCAAATTGTTGCGGCCGAGCTAGCTTTTATAGCAGGAAGTTTTGATTTCCTACCCTCGACCATTGATGCACTGCAGAAACGTCAGCCTTTAGCTGAAGGTATAAAAATTTTCAGACATTTGTATTGTTTTTCTCGTAGATTTTAGCCGCAAACAGAACGCAATATGACACAATTGCTCAATTTTTGGCAAAATTTGGCGCAATTTTTCCGAGCCCTGATTATGACCGATTAAAATGGATTTTCAAAATTCAATTTCAAATGTGGGGGAAAGTGGAAAAGAGCCCATCAAAACGTTCTGAAAAGCAGAGTTCGTTATCATGTTCAGCCCCTCCAGTGTTAATTCGTATTCCGAAAAGACGTTTCTAAAACTCCCATCGGCGTCTGGAAAAACTGGTCTGCATTTTTAGTATTCAGACTAACTTGTGGCTAAAAACATGGATAAATCAATCCAAAACTGAATCAACTATTTCCACTTCGAGTATTCCCAATTTCTAAATCATTTTTCCTAAATTGATCATTGTTCTGTCCACTGAAAGTGAGGAGAAACTCTTATCTTTATAAGTTTCATTACGAGGCCATACTGTGAATTTTGTGAACTGAATGCGAAATCCGCAACAAGAACACTTTCTTTGATCTTTCGTTTTCTTTGATCGTTCCGACAAAAATTTTAAAGATGTTTAAAGACTTGTCTCTAGATTCCAGAGACATACATACACTAAATTTTATGCCTATACTGTGCACAGTTCGACCTCGTAAAGGTTTCAGTTTATTTTTTTTTCTATTTTTTTCCCACAACAAAAAGTGTCAGAATCATCAGAAAATTGATTTTTTTAAATGTTTTTTTGTTAAATGAATTTGGTCGGAACTTTCTGTGCTTCATGCAAAACAACAGGCTACTCTTGTTAAATTGTGGCTTAGCATATTCCTTAAACCACACTTAGTGTTGTTTTGCCGCGAAAAAATTCAGCAAACATGTCAAAAACAAATTTAATAGCTCAGCGTTTACATTTAATTGGCTGTTACTATAATTGAAAAAATATTGTCTTGCCAGCTTGACAAGAAGGATGATTAAAAGAATGAGCTTTCCTTTTTTCCAATTTAATTTAGAACCAAAAAGTGTCTGAAGGTGTTTTTAAGGGAAAACACCGCGCTGTTTTTACAATCAGAACAATTCGGATGTCATTTATTTCCGTAATGGATAAATAGTCTAACGTAACCCGAATCACAGTAATACTGAGTTACCCGTTTGGTATTTTGGCATGTGGATTGTTCTTTTGTTTCTTCGCTCTTTCTTTTTCCTTCTCTTTATTCATATGAGAGGTGGAAAAAAACTTCACTGGGTATGCTGCATCATCTCGGGTCAGATACGCGCCTGAAATAAAAAAGAAGCAGTTAAGATAAGGGAAATCATGCTGCTTCTGAACTAGCTTGTTATTACGGAGCCCAATTCTAAAATACAAGGCTGATAAAATAGTTATTTTGCAACCGAGTCTAATTCGGTGATGTCTTTTTACATGTTTTAAGCCCCAGAGGTCGAATTCAACACCAACAGATTCAAGGATTAAAAAATGGGTAAAATAAACAAACGCCATCATTCATGCTTGCTTTCATGCCAATAGTGTTGATGAGAGCAAAAAAAATCAGATTTTACTTTGAATAATGAAATAAAACAAAATCATTCTAGTTTACTTCACAATTTTAAATGAACAAATACCTCATATATGCTAGTAGTCGCCGACAAAAAAATACATAAACAATATAAAAACGGCAATAAGTGTCAAAGTTCAGAAAAAATATGGGATTTAAAAATGCACTACGGACACTACGGGATTCGAAAAACGGACCTCCGGCGTCATACGCAAACTCTTTGAAGCATAATATGTATTAATTGATCAAGCTGTTTAATTAACGCAACAACTGTAAATTAAATCTTTGAAATGAAATGGGCGACTTTGATTGGACGAAGCTGGCATGTAAACACGCTTTGTCAGTTCCATTTGCGTAATTAAGTGAAACTGCGTTAAATTGATGAAAACTTCGATTAATTCTCTGACTGACCTCTAGCTATTCTGTGTTTGCGCATCTTCAAAGTGTTCAGCTCAATTCCCTTTTCACTCATCATCTGTTCTAGCAGCTGAACTTTCTCCTCTTTCGTGACTGAACAAAAAAAAACACATCAAAGTTCAACTTTCAAGGTCATTGTGTTATTTTTTAATTAAGATAAAAAAAGAATTAATCCGACAGTTAATTGATTCATTTTATATATGAGCTGGCGATTTTTAACTTAAATTTATTCTCTGTTTCTATGTTAATTGTGTTTTCAATTAGCTCTCTGGTCGCTATATTTATTGAGACAATTTTAGCCCTTCCATTATAGAAAACAGGATCATTTGTCTTTATTGCGACCAAGAAATTTTTATTGAAGGCAATTTCAAATTCCATAAAACAAGCAATACTTTTAGTGCATAAGTGCTCTGGGGATCTAGAGGGTGAATCTACGATTTTCTCGAAGAGGGGGATTAATTCTTTGAATTATTTTTGCACCTTTTGAGAGGTTTTGGCTATTTTCGCTTATTTGTCTCTTAATCCTCCGTTATAAATATAAACCATGGTTAACCAAAAGTCGCTATCTTAGAACTTTTCGTACAAGAAAGTTGTAAGATAGTGGAAATTTCCTACAGTTCTTTAAAAAAATTGTGAGATAGGGGAATATTTGGAAGGATAGTCAACCCGGGAGGATTAGTCGAACAAGGTGTCCAAATCCGTTAGTAAAAACTAAAAAAAAATTGCACGGACCGCGGTTTATGACTTGCTTGGACATTTCTGCACCCAGAAATGATTAAACGGCCAAAAAATACACATTTTTGACAGAACATGTCCATATTTTTCCTCATGAATGATATCTTATTCCACGTACAGTCACGGCACAAAACACTTGTTAATTTCAGTTTTCAGCCTATGAAACGATCGAAACTTTTCATCAAAAATTAATTCTGTCAATTTTCTGCCAATTCCTGCATTTCAGCATTGAAATTTTGATACAATACCAGTGAAACTATTTAAACTGATGTAACCGATATAATTTTTAAAAATTCTCCGAGACTCGTTTAATACGTGTACCGGCCGAGGACCACTTGTTTAAACCTCTTAACCAGATTTGGATTCTCATTCTCAAAGCATAGTTTATTTAACAGAAAGCGCTTTGACAGAACTTTGGAGCAAAAACGTGCAACTATTTTTTGAAAAAAGATTGCGCTAAAAAACAAAATGCTCCCACTCTCGCTTGTGTTAATATTTTTTAATTGAACATGTTTTTCAAATTTTAATGGAAAATTATATAAGGAGTAGTCAAAAAACTTATTGATTAAAAATATTTTAATTGGTTAATGGTTGAAAAATAAGGTTAAATATTTTTCAACTGGACATTACTGGTTTTAAAGACGGCTAAAAAATCTTTAAAACGTAACTTTTCGGCTTTTGAAATCCCTTCAATTTCTTTTGGCTGGGTTCAACAACCATATGTTAAAAACTCAGCCGTGTATCTCAAGTTGTTACAAAGAAAACATAAAAATGCAGAGAAAATATTGATTCACTTAAAAATAACTGAAAATAAATTTCAAACATTCGGTCCCTCCATCATAAGCGACCAATTGAAAAAAAATCAAATCGCATTTCAGCAAAGAATTAATTTTAAACCAATCAAATTCAAGCAAAATTGTGCCTGATCTGACAGTCAGACAAGAAAAGATAATGCTCGAATCTGATTGGCTGAAAACGCACCAGATTGCTTGAAAATATGCTGAAAAGCAAAAATCAAATACTCAAATTCTAAAGATTTGATTTTTGCGCAATTAGACAAAAATTTTTTTCAAAAAAGGGTAATAAATTACAATAGGTGGTAGGTTCAATTTGAATAGCTGGATTGCTTTTTGTTATACTTCGCACATTATTTAAAATTTATTGCATAAGCCAAACTTTATGGCAAAAGAAGTGTACAATTTGAGCTTTTTAATACTATTTCATTTGGCAGAGAATTGTATTTACAGAACTATTTTAGTAGTAGTACAATTGATTGAAAATGAAATGACTATATTATGCATTAGAGTTCTCAAATTTAATACATGCACTATACTCAAAATGACCACTTATTGAAATATATCACCCAAAAAAAAGACCCACTTACTTTTATCGGGTAGATTTTCCGGCTGTGTCTGACACTGAAGTTGTTTTGAGTCACAGACGCTGATGAGTTCATCAGCTATGGCTGCACTGATTTGCAGAGCACGAGACACCATACACGCATCTATTTTGGGGAGAGATCTGTCCATGTATTCATCGCCTAGAAGGGGTCAAATCGAGGTCGAAAGATTTTATCGGGGTCAAAACAGGTCAATTCGAGACCAAAAAATTTATCGGGGGTCAAAACAGGTCAATTAGAGACCAAAAAAATTTATCGGGGTCAAAACAGGTCAATTCGAGACCAAAAAAATTTATCGGGGTCAAAAAGGTCAATTTGAGGTCGAACGAGTCTACTAGTAGTTGAAATACGGATCTGAAAACAATTCTGAATATCCATTGGTGATCTCACAGTCAATACTAAGTGTACTTAAGTTTCATTTATAGAAAATTTTGTATATTTTGTGCCTCAATACAATTTGTTTTTCTGAATTATTATTATTATTAATGAGTTTATCGGGATCCATAAATTCTGCTAGTATTGGAAAACAAAACTCCAATGTTTTGCAAAAAAACACTTGACGAAAACAAAACAGTTACTTTTAGAGTTTAGAGTTTACAGTTGTTTGCAAATGCTCTTGGTAATACAGTGCTGATTTAAATTAACCGGACAAAACGCGTTTAACTTGAAATTTAAAACGTATTTTTCTCAAATTGGGTTGATTTTAGGTGAAAACTTATGAAGACAAAACTTGCTTAAAAATTTAGCAGAAGTAATATGGTCTAATTTGTTTTGTGAAATTCGGGCCCGAAATTTTACCCCAAAAATGAGACATTTTGGCTTTTTTTAGTTAATCAAAAATTACGACGAAAATACCCGGTCGATCACAGACATAATTATATCAAAGTGAGCCCCTTACATAGCCCAACAAACTTTAAGAAGGGTATAATCTCCAAAAAAAATTGCAAATTGTTTAAAAATTGTTTTTAAATAAAAAATTGGTATTTTATAAAGTAAAAACGACCTTTTTTGTCTCAAACAAAAATAAATTAAATTATACAATATTTTGGAGATTATACCCTTCTCAAAGTTTGTTGGGCTACGTAAGGGACTCACTTTGATACAATTATGTCTGTGATCGACTGGGTATTTTCGGCGTAATTTTTGGTTAACTAAGAAAAGCCAAAATGACCCATTTTCGGGGTAAGATTTTGGGCCCGAATTTCGCAAAACAAATTACACCATATTACTTCTGCTAAAATTTTAAGCAAGTTTTGTCTTCATAAGTTTTTACCTAAACTCAACCCAATTTGAGAAAAACGGGTTTTAAATTTCAAGTTTAACGCGTTTTGTCCGGTTAATTTAAATCAGCACAGTACATGGCGTCTGCCTTGAAAAAAACTACAATTTAGATACTCTCATAGATCACTTCAACCTTTTAGAACAAAGCAGTTTCAAAAACGTTTTTTTTTCAACGTTGGTTCTAAACATCTCACTGTTGTTACAGACACTATGCATGTGATCTGGTACAGATTTAGAAAGAGAAGATTGTGTCTCTGTTTTAACCGACTTTGTATGAGGTATGGAATTAATTCCTCATACACGAAGGACCGAATGCGCGAAAGTTTTGTCAACCAATCAGAGCTCAGCATTCAACAATTCAAACGAAATAAGCAATAAAATCAGAGTCTTGGACAATTTAAAGGGCGCTGATTGGTTGAGAATTTGCGCGCGTTCAGTCATTCGCCTATGAGAATAGCCCCCTGTTTGAGGCTCAGAGGCTAAATTAAATAGGGTATCAAAATCATAACTTTAAAATGGAATCAATAGGCAGCAAAAAAAAACATAACTTTTTATACAATTTAAATATCCGAATCACGAATGAAAACAGCTTTAAGATAATACCAATTTTGAACCTTTTGAACTTTGTTTTAAGTACCTAAAACGCGTGAAAAAACCTCATTAGTCTTTTGTTAATTTCTTTTTTTTTTCGTTCGTCATCGGGAAAAACAAACTGAGAATAATCAAACTTCCTTTTTTATCAAGAAAAACAGTAAGATACAAAACGCTTCCTTTTAGTTGACCTTTTCTTTTGATTGTTGAATTCACTATCACTAGCTAATTGAATTCAATTCAGTCTCAGAATCTCAGTCAATCTAATTCACCTTTTCAATTTGATTCACTGACTAAGATGCTATTGATAGTCAAAATAAATTGAAACTCCATTTTCCCTAATTTGACATTTTTATATCCGTAATTGAATCATAATGTCCCTCTGGAATTGCAATTTATATTTCATCATTAAGAAAAAAAACGATCTCCTTCTATAAATAAACACTGTACTGTAAATTACAAAATCTTAAACTCACTGACTTTATAAGGTAAGTAATCAGATCATTTCATCAATGAACCCATCTTATAAAATATAATTTCATAAAAAGTTTCACAATAACGTCTTCATGTCTTTAGATCTATATCTTTAGGGTAAACGTCTTTTGTTACAACGCCAATAATTGCTTTCTATTGTTTTTATTCACAGCTTTCTAATAACCAATATTTCAGCAATGAGATAAAAAAATCGTTGCTTGAATCGACTGGAGCCAGCAACAGCGCTTTTTTCAAAACTTTTCTCAAAAAGCTCTTTTTTCTGTTATTCAATTTCGTCATACAAAATTTCATGAAGTTATAAAAGTTTTTATGACCCATCCATACTTCAGCACAGAAATATACAGTAATCTAGTTTGCCCTCAAAACTGCGCAATAAAATTTGACTAAGCCGAAAAAACAAATTGTTTTGAAAGTTTGAAAAATAAAAAAATGTAGAAAAAATCACGCAAAATCATACTTGGTAAATTTACAAATTACTGAACTTTGAGTTATAAGAAAAAACTGTTTAAATTAGAACAAAACCCATGCTTTAAAAAGTCAGCCAATAAAAAAAAAATACTTGTTTAAAAATAAACGGACAATGAACCAACAGAAACTAGGACGAAAACCATGAAGCCGAAAAAAAATCATAAAAACTAATTACAACCTGAAACAGTCTTTAGCTAATTACAACTTAAATGATAGTAGTTACATTTGAACTTCAAGATTTTGAGAGTGCCATAAGTGATATTTACCATTCCTACTTAAAAAAAACATTCTGAAAACAAAGTTGTTTACGGGAGAAAAGTCTAGTCCGCAAGGATAACGAAGTGGTAACAGAGCCGAAAATAGTTATCGAGACACCTGTTTAGCCAAAAATAAAGGTTTTCAGAAAAAAATGCTTTCTCCTCAAAAAACACACAAGCACAAGAAATTTATTCGCTCATCGATCGACACGATTGGAAGAAAGTATAGTATTAGTCAAAACACTATAAAAAGCCGAAGGTGAATAAATTCAAAAGAAAAGAAAATTGAAACTATCCCAAATCCTAGTTCGTAAATTAACAACAAACGTAAGAAAACAAGGATAGCCGGCTGTGCAAGGGTTGTTAGGCTTTGAGCGAATCTGAACGAAAGCCTAAAAAAAATTACAATTGATAGTAAGAGTAGAATATGCAAAGAAACGACAACGAATTTTGTCAAAAATTACTCAAATAATAAAAAAACGCTCGAAACTAAACCAAAAATCAAAAACCTGTGACCGGTTGTTCTCAAGATTTTTGGAATTTTTAATAGGGTTCGAATCTCGACTGCAAAGGATTCAATATGATATATCACTCGACCCCTTCCGTCGATTATTGTTCCGACTTTTGAAGAAAACGGAATATTTAAGCTCGGTGTGGTTTTATTTATTCAGTCAATTTTCTCCGAACGAAACAACAGTTTTCAACAAAAAAAATTTCATACCTCGTTGAAGATATTGACTTCCTGAGTTCAAATTTGAAACGATGTTATAGCTCCAATTTTTTAATAAAGTATTGGGGGTTTGAAAATTGCCAAATTGGCAATTTTCGGGACTAAATTATGCGCACTTTGAAGAATTTGTTTATAATGCTGAGAACGTAACGCGAATTATTTATTCCTGGCGAATTATCCCGCACAACAAAATCATTCCAAAATGAAATGAGGCTAGTTAATCGATCGTATTAATTTTGTACAGCTTGAAAATTTACGCAAAAAATTGTCCAAAATTTATAGATTTTCAATATTTCCTTTTCTCAAAAACTATTTGATATAAATTAGGGGACATTCGGAACATTGAGGGCTTTGCCCTGATGTACGAGCAGTCTTGCTGATTTATATACCTGATTTTACGTGGAAAACAAAAAGTATTAAAAAACTAAAACACTCGAACACAAAATTCCTCCCCACTTTCAGTGGTCGGATCAATAAGGAAAGTCTATAGATGTATACTAAGTGATTATTTAAGGTTAAGTAAGCTATTTCTCTCTTAAAAGAGCTCAATATGTAAATTGCAGTGCACGTGCGATTTGAACCCGCATTCACACGATTGCTGGGCACCATCACTACCGATGCGCGACGACGCCACAATAATAAACTTATCCCATCCATAATCAGTTTTGTAACAGCAAAAGTTGATGCAACAATGAACTGCTTTTCTCTTTCATTTCAAAGTTTCTCTGCTAATTCTATTTCTCACAGTATCTTGTAGGTTTAAGAGTTCAGCTCTAACTGGGTCGTTGACAAAATATTTGTGCAGATTCGATATGATTACGAATCCAATGTCAAATCTCTGGCTAATTTAACGTTGCCTTTTTCGCTGAATTCATGCCTTTCGAAGAAATCAGGGACATTTTGATTACTAGACGCTTTGCAACTTTTTGCCATAAGGCTGGCTGTTTTTCTGTACCTCTCCAGATAATGAGTCAACTTTTCTTCAGACGTCTTTTTCACCCCTAGTTGCATTAACTCTCACGATACCAGATCTTCAGTTACTTGACTTAACAGTTTAGTGACCACTGTTTTCTTTAAAGACGTAACCTCAACTGACGCTTGAGCCATTACAAAACTTCCTGCAAAAACTGCGGTCAATACGCTGTAATGAGCGCTCAGAGTAGAACAATTTCTAAGAGCTGAAGAGTTATTTACCACGTCATCGTGTATCAAACTAACGGCATGGATCATATCGCATATTTAAGCAAGTTTAAGCTGGTTTGGATGAAGGCTAAAATTAGTGGAACTTATTGTCATTACAGCACATAAATACAAGAGATAACAGACGAGTCCTAAAAAACTTCAATACGCTCCGAAAAGCCAGCCTGATGATTTCAATTAAATGAGCCTTATCCATATGATTCAGTTAACTAAAGTAGCTTTGAAATCCGTCTACTTTTTCTGGTTAACTGGTAACTAACTTATGATCCAATGCTTTTCGAAAATTTCAATCACAATATCTGTAGAATTTCATATTTGTGTTCCTAAAGGATATTTTGTGCTTCGTTAAATTATCATAACAACTCGATTTAGTTTTTCGCTATTTTGCACCGGTTACCCCTTTTTTCTATACTATTGTCAATATTTTCCGGTATGTTCACTTTTAGTACTATGAGATAATTAAAAGCAAAGATTGAGAGTTGGATTTGAAAAAGCACGGCAGCTAGCCGAAAAAAAAACATGACGAAAGCCAATGAGTCGAAAAAAATGGAAACAACAATATGAACCAAAAAAATTTGTATGTTTGACTCAAGTGAAAATCAACCTGAGGAAAACTGGCCAAAAAATGCAACTTGCAGTGTTAAAACTATATTCAAACAAAGTTTACCAGCGGTAACTAAGCAGACAATACTTGGGTAGTTGACTGTTGAGTCGAAAAACAAACTTGTCACAAACTCTGTCAAAAAATGAAATGCGAAAGTTCCTAAATGTAATCAAAAACAAACAATTAATTATTGCAATCAAATAAATTGCATATTCAAGGGGAACGCTCGGGGGTAAATAGGCCCTATATGCTATTTGCTATAGTATAAGATCAAAATGAAAGAAAAGAAATTGAAAAACAAAATGTCAAAAAAAAGAATGCAAAAATTACAAACAATTGCCCCAAAAAGTCTTTGGTTCTTCGAAAAATCTCAGCCATACTGCACACAACTGGATCCCATGCAACACTTTCCGCCACATTTTTTGTATACAAAACAGTTGAGTCAAATTTGCAAAAAAAATTAAGGGAGAACTATCAATTTTTTCGAAAGTTTTCTGACATATTAAAACAATACGCTGAACCATCAACTTGAAACGAAAACACTGAAACAGAAATTGCTCAAACCTAAATCACATTGAACTAATTAAAACTAAAACTACTTCCACAGACTTAAAGAACAAAGAAATCAGAAACGAAACATCCAAAAAAAACTGAAAATTTAATGCTAGAAAAATGTCTAAGAGAAAGTTTCAAAAAAAACTTTTTTTCTAACAGAAAATTTCAGCACCTGCCAAAACTAGAAAACTATGAACTACATTTACCCTCATGAAAAAGAAAAGAGTATTCAAAAAGTATACCAAAAATACAGAAATAATTCACTCAGCAAGAAAGCCGACCAAAATTGGGACGAAATCAACAAAGCCGACAAAATATCAAAATATCTTAAAAAAATTCAGTTGTAAAACAAGACAAATCTTTAAATTAGTTGTTGAGCTACAGCTATTAGACGCGAAACTTGGGTAGAAATGAAAATGCAGATGACCAAATTCCAGTCATCCTGTAAACAAAGTTGTTTACGGGGGAAAAAGTCTAGTACCCGATTGCGATACACGTGCTTATGGCAGGGTAAAAATATTGTAAATTTATCCCAGCCACAATCAGGTTTGTATTTGCAGAAATTATGCAACATTAATTGTTTTTCTATCTCACTTCAAAGTTTCCATTTTTTCTTTACTAATTCTATTAATTATAGAATCTTGTAGGTAGAATTGTAGGTTTAAGAGTTCAGTTCTAACTGGGTCGTCGCCAAAATATTTTTGAGTCAATTGCTGTGCAGATTCGATATGATTATGAATCATTACTTCAGTCTCTTGCACGCCAGACGAATCTAATGTCAAGTCTCTGGCTAATTTAACGTCGCCTTTTTCGCCAAACTGGCGCATAATAAGAAAATTGAGGTCATTGCGTTCGAACGCTGCGAAAAAAACAGGCGCAGTAGCGAGACCAGAGGCAAGATCTGCGTTTGTCGGTTTATCCGACTTAGAAGCTGCACCGACAAAATCAACGATGTCATCGGCTAATTGAAAAGCTAATCCAATGTTTTTACCGATTTGGAAGCACACGCTTCATGTCTTTCGAAGAAATCAGAGGCATTTAGAATACTAGACGCTTTGCAACATTGTGCCATTAAGCTGGCTGTTTTTTTGTACGACTTGTCAAGATAATGAGTTAAGCTTTCTTCAGACGTCTTTTTCACTCCTAGTTGCATTAATTCTCCCGAAACCAGATCTTCAGTCACTTGACTTAACAATTTAGTGACCACTATATTCTTCAAAGAAGCCACCTCAACTAACGCTTGAGCGATTACAAAGCGTCCAGCAAAGACTGCTGTCGATTCACCGTAATAAGCCCTTAGAGATGGACAATTTCTACGAATTGAAGAGTTATCGACCAACGTCATCGTGTATCAAACTAGCGACATGGATCATTTCGGTTATATAAGCCAATTTAAGCTGATTTGGCTGAAGGCTAATTTTTTTGGAAGTTATTGTCATTGAATTACAGCACATAGACACAAGGGACACTAGACGTCGTCTGAAAAACTTCCCTTTGCCCTGAAAAGCATCCCTGGAGACTTCATTTAAATAAGACTTATCCAGATGATTCAGTGAACTAAGGTAGCTTTGAAATCCATCTATTTTTTCTTCTAGATAACTGGTAACTGACATATGATCCAATGCATTTCGGGAAACTAAACAACAATGTCTGAAGAATTGCAAATTGTGTTCCAAAATGATATTTTATACTTCGCAAAATTCTCATACTACAACTCATATAACAACTCAATATTAACACAACTGATTTTTCTTATTAATATGAATTTTTAACGGCATAGTCAAGCTTTTTTTGCAGCGGTTACCCTATTCTATCTATTGTCAATACTTTCCCGTTATGTTCACTTTTAGTACTACGAGATGCTTAAAAGCAGATCTTGAGAATTAATTTTGATACAACAAAAGAACGCAGCTAGCCGAAAGAAAACATGACGAAAGCCAATGAGTCGAAAAAAAATGAGTTTGTCTCGAGTGAAGCTCAACCTGAGGAAAAATGCCGAGAAATGCAATTTGTAGTGTTACAACTATATTGAAACAACATTTAACAAGCGTTAATTAAGCAGACATTACTTAGGTAGTTGACAGTTGAGCCGAAAAACAAACTTGTCATAAAAAAATCTGGGCCAAAGATGTCTGTAACAAGTAATTAAACTCACCAATACCACTAGAACACAAGCAGATTTTTTAAAAAAAATTAGCCCTTCAAACGACATGTCATGAGGCAACTAAACCGATATAACACAACAAAATCATAGGTGTTAAATTTAGACATTACAGGAAACACCAAAATGAAGTTCATTTATAAAAAAAGCTTAGATCAGAAGAAAAATTCATACTTTGTGAATTAAGCCAATTAAAACAGTTAAATGATAGCGCAAAACCATAAACATTTCCTTGAGTCTTTCAAAAAGAAAAAATCAAATCTAACATCTTTTTCCTCCCAAGACTTTTGATTTATTTTCAAGTTCAGTTCATTTCCTTAGTTAAGTAAAGCAAACTCGACTATCGAACAGCGAGAGTAGAAAAGCCACAAAAACGTGATCAACTTCTAATTGCAAAAAAGAAATTGAATTATCAGATTTCCCAGTCAAGCAAAAATTTTACCTATTCATCCAGTTTTCTCAAATAAGATTAATTTTATCAAAAAAGTGTCAATCATAAATTGCTCTAGGAATTCAATTAGCTTTAAAGCCATCGATTTTTTTCTTGGAAATTCGACAGTTCAGATTTTAAAAAAACAAGTGTTTTTTTTTCCTGTTTACTTGGGTTCATTGAAACTTTTCCAAATGTTGGTTGACTATGTTTTCGAACTTTTAAAGTGTTTTAGTTCCAAAATGACGCTAAAAAAACAATTTTACAAAAATTAAACCTAAGTTAAACGATTATATTTCTATAATAAGCCTGCTCACTCGCTTTACTAAATCAAAGTTGTACTAAAACTCAAAAAAAGATGCAGTTTTTCTCGACAATGGGACAACTTTTTGAAGTCTTTTAATTTCGTTCGAATCAGGACTGTAAAAACGTTTAATATGATATATCACTCCAACCGTTCCAATGATTTATAGTTTCAACTGCTTGAAAAACAGAACAAGCCTGATCGCGCTCTTTATTCGCTCAAAATTAGACCAAAAATCAAAAACTTCAAGCGAATTTTTCTCGACCCTGAGAATGCTTTTTTTAGAAATTTTTAAATGTTCAAATTACACCTAAAAAGGCTTTTAACTGATAATATCACTCAACATATTCCGATGATTATTTGTGGTGCATGATATGCGCTGTTACCAAAAAAACTAAAACATACCCCAATACAAAGTACCTCCCTACTTTTAATGTTGAGAACAAAAAAATTTGAAAAGAAAGTTTAATAGAATCCATATTATTACAAATGTAAATGAAAAGTGGTTCTCGAAAAGCGTTATCTAAATGAAACATAATTTCTCCATCTAACAACTCATCTGATTAATTGTTTACAAATAAAAAATCTATGTTCCTTTTTGATAACGACTGCTTATCGCTTGAGTGAAAAAATAGCTTCAATTTAGTTTTCAAAATCAAGCTGAAAGCGCGTCAATATGATATCATACTCAATGCCTCAAAGCGTTCTTATAAAAAACCAAATAACGAGATACACAACCACTTTATGTAAATATTTCAATTGAATTTCTTAGAACAACACGATTTCTTGTATCATTGTGAGGTATCAGAGTCCATGGAATATATATAATTTTAGTTGAAATTTTCATAGAAAAAAGAGAAATTTTCTGAGATAGCAAAATTTTGAAATAATTTTAAAAAAACTTTCCCTCCACCAGCTATGCAGGTTACAAAGTGGTATACTTCGCTTATAGTAGCGTAACAATTAGAACAAATAGCCTGCCTCAACTCAATCTGGAACAATTTCTGAGCCTAACGCGTTGTAGAAAGAAATATATCGCGCGTTAATTGTCCCATATTTTCAAATTGACTATGTTCAAACCACTGTAATTTACCGAATCATGTACAAACTGAGAACTCTTGTGATATGGCTTCTTAGACAGTCGAATTTTGTCTGAAAAAAAAACACTCCGAGCACAAAAATTCCGTCACTTTCCTCGAAAACCTGAACAACAATTAAAATTCTTCGCTGAGATTATAAAACATTGGAAATTAATAAGCACCTCTTTTTATCAAGACATCATTTTTTAAAACAAGCAGCTGATATGCCATTTCGGTTTTTCACCTTATCAACAGATAATTATTACTTGAAATCATTACTTTTATGATGCCCGAGATGTTTTAACTGTTTCAAGTTTTGCCGAAAAATGATTTTTTGATAATTCCATTTTGTGGTAAATTTAAGTTCAACAATGTTTTCAGGCTTTACTGTGTTTTCATCCACTTGAAGACCTTCAAAAATAGATTTCAAATGATTTAGTGGGACCGCTTATCTAAAGGAGCTTTTCAAATGGGACCCATCAAAAACGGTGGCTCCTTTCCAGTCCCCCCTTTCAAAATACCGAGTTTTATGTTTGTTTTACGTGTTATTACGGTTAAATGCGTGATGCTATACTGTAAAGTATGGAGAACAAATCTGTTCACAGTTGTCGATTTTTTCACCACGCCAAATTTCATTGCATTATGGCAATGTTAAAAAATTTTTTCAAATTTGAATTTGAGAGGGGGGAAACTGGAAAAGAGCCAAAACGGTGAGACCATAGTTCTACACGAGTACCGACAGGGGCGGATCTAGGATTTTCTTGGGGGGGGGATTTTCAGGGCGGACCTTTTTTTAGGTCGACCTAATTGATTTTCCGAGCTCTCTTAAATCACTAAAAAGACCCTGTTTTTATCAAAATTTCTCTGCCGCACGCAAAATTTGTAAAACAGGGCAAAAAAAGGCGTTTTTAGGCACTTTTTGGAAAATTTTGACCAAAAAATCCCATTTTTTCGGCGCGCGCTCCCCCCTAAATCCGCCCCTGAGTACCGACTTCAAATACATAAAAAATTTTATTTGAGATTTTTTATTCTAAATGAAGTCTAATATGAACTTTCGGACCAATTTAACATCCTCCCCTCCTTTTGGCCAACCAGAATCGAGCATTTTACAAGCAGTGCTTAGCAAATTTAATCCAAATTTAAGGCTGGGGTGGCGGATGTTAAGTTGGTCTAACCCGGGGGAGGATATTAACTTGATCCGAAATTTCTAACCCAGCAGTTGGTAGTTCTGACTTCTCCACGCTGCTATGTCAACTATAGGCCCCACCCACTTGCAGTCAGAGAAGAAGCCCATCTTCACTTTGTTCACACCTCCTTCAACTTCGTCTTCTTCTTCATACTCGTACTCTGCTGCGTAGTCATAATTGGGGTCAAGGTCGAAATTAGAATCTGCGCTGAAAGCAACAAAAAAGTACAATCCACTTTCGAAATTATAATTCACTCGCGATAGTTTTTTTTTCGTGAAACTGCAATCGCGGGACAACCAATTATTGAACAGTTTGACACGGGAGTTTAAATTAGAAACGGATGAATTGACATTTTGGAAAAAACTGAGGAAACACCTGTTTTGACAATATCTCTATTGAGAATAGAACACCTTTGAGAGAAAAAAATGAGTCAAAAGAAACCCATGAATCAATGAATAATTCGGCCTTCTGCAATTGGATTGTAAAATGTCTTCTTTTTACTAAATGAATTTGAATTGAACTTGAATTACTCAAAAATCGTTATTTTTCTTTTAACATAATTCAAACTCGTATTTTTCAAAATCAGCACAAATAGGCTTTAAAAAAAGTCATTTTTAAGAGCACAAACGAGTATTGAAAATTTGCAAGCCAAGTCGGTTTGGAAAAAACCTAAATGATCATTTTCAGATTTTTGATTTTTTAAATACATACTTTATACTCTAACAAATACAGTAAGTTAAACTATTTGAACTAACCTTTGTCCAACACCAGCTAATTCATCGCCCATATTTTCATCGTCATCTTGAGAATCATCGTTGAACTCGATTAACCCAGCACTCATTTCATGACCTCTGTTCACCTCTGAATATTGCGAATATTCATTGATTGGCTCTTTTCCACTTTCCATTCACGTTCAATTTTTTTCTTAGTTGTTTCACGCTGACCATTCATTGAGCAGAATGGTATAGGAGCAGAAGAGTCTAAGAGCAGAAAAACAACAGACAAATATTGATTTATACGGGCTGATTGATAAAAACACTTAGATCAACTTAACAACCCGGCCAATCTAGTAAAACGGGGGGGGGGGGGGGGGGGGTTTGTTAAGTAGATTAAGTTAGACGAGCTTTCGACCAATCAGAATGCGGTAGAAATAGAATTTTAAACAACGCTCTAGTGCTAACTTACTTAACTTACTGCTTTTAGTAAACACATTAGGGGTAACAATTGTTAAGAAGATCCAAACAGTTACTGGAACTGTCAATATATCAAAGAACTGATTAATTTATACATTAATTGAGTAATTTCATCAAGTTCTTTCTGATCGAATCTAAAAAAACTGATCAATATACCCAATTTATGGATAATTTATCAATTTCTTTGGTAATATTGACAATTCTAATATACAGAGCGACATTGAAAATGCATCATCAAAATTTCGCTCAAATCATTTCTCAAAATAGAACGGTTAGAAAAAACCGTGAAGTCTTACAAACTAACGCTTTTAAAGCAAATTTAATCACATTTCAGCAACTATTTTACATTTGAATTTTTACTAAATTCGAGTTTCTTTGTAAGCTTGAAAGCAAATTAAGCCTGAAATGAACCACGAAAATCAAGTTTTAATCCAACGGTATGTTTATGGCTGAACCTTCAGTTTTTTTCGTTTATTGACCTTGAAAAAGCAATGATTATGATTTTCCAGAGCTGAATGAATCAAGGTAGTTAAATTAGTTCCAAAAAAGTAGCTAAAAGACATATACAGGAGAAAAAAGTAACACAACCAAATATATTTCAGAACGCAAAAAGTTTTTCTCTCAAACCTTGTGATCATAAAATCTTTTCATTCCTTGTGTAAACACTACACGTTCTGAGCATATTTTTGCCTGACTCAATTCATCAAAAACTTGAAATATCACAAACATTGAGACCCCTACATTAAAGAAACTCAAATCGTCGTACATTTTTGATCCAGAATGTGCCAGTAATTTCTTCAAAATTTTATATAATTTTTCGAGAGATGCTGCTTAAGAAAACCTTTTGTTGCGCTGCTAAATTTTTTTTTGCAAAAAAAGAAACAGAGTTTGTATAAAGTTATTTTAAATTAGCTTTTTTTGAACATTTTGTGAAATTTATGCAATTTTTTGTAAATTTTTTATTTAAAAAAAAACAATAAATAACGATCTCGGGGCAAAACAAACAGTATTTTTTTCTCCAGTAGTGGACTTTTTTACGGTTTTTTGCCTATTTTTTTTTCTAGAGCTCAATTTCAAGGCACACTGTCAAATTTGTTGCTATCTATCACAGCAAGCACATGGTTTTTGCAAATTTCAAATCATTCACTCTAAAAGATTTTTTTTTGTTTCAGTGAAAGTTTGCTGTTGCACTTTTAATGTCATTCAGTACCTGTTTTACCGATTAGCTAATTGTTTTTCTGCGCTTATACCATTCTGCTAATTGCCCGCTTCCTTGTTTCACGTGTTATTATGGTTTAAAGCAAGATAAAACTATGTAAGGCATGAAGAATAAATCTGTTAACAAAATTTAATTTGATCGCCATACAAAATTTCATTGCATTATGACTTCGCTACAGTGGTTTTTAGAATGGAAACTCAAATAGACGAGGAGAGTGGAAAAGAGACCATTATTTGATATTTGAGTCGAAGTTGTGAAGGCGGAATTGAAATTTGGTAGCTCTATTCTTTCGGAATTTGGGTTCACACTGGGATCAGTGGGGTCGAATAAGTCCAATTCGTGAAAGTCGGGTAAATCCATCAGTAATCTGAAAACAATGGTCAATCTTTTTGCTATAAACAAACTTCAAAAAATCTGAAATTTGATTCATTAGGAGCGTTTTCAATATCTTTTTGGGCTGAATATTGACTTTGACATCTTAATTTTTTTTGAAGCAGAACTTAAAAACCTGACAGAAAGAAAAATCAGATCAATAAATCGACCTAACTGAATTTCAAATAAAGCTTCAAAGCGACTTAATCAATAATGATAATTCAAAAAATTGAATTCATTGGAGTTTTCAAACTTGAACTACTTTTGACGCCAAGTAGGATTACCAATTCGCGAACTTCGAAAACAAAACTTGGTTGACCTTTATTCTCAATAACAGATTAGTTTTTAAAACCGAATCAGACTTCGAAAAAGAGTATTCAATTTGAATTATTTTTTGACAAGATTGATTAAATAGAGACGATAGAATGAGTGTTATCCTCAACTTCATTTTCCCGTAATTCAAACTCTTTGAAAGCGATCTAAAATCGAGATTAAAACACCAGTTATGAATTAAAGTCTAATCAAGTAAAATAATGGAGAGATATCTTTTGTTTTGATTACTCGTGGATTAGAAAATTGCGAGTCATCAAAGCAAAAGATACATCTCGCAATTAATTTAATTGATAAATTTGCTAGAAAACAACTTAAAACGATTTTTTGATTTTATCAATTTTGGCCTCAACTTTTTTTTTACAAGTTTTCAAAACTAATTAACAAAACATTCTCGGACGAAATCAATTATCGGAACAGAAATTTCGAAATTTCATTGAAAATTTTTTATGATTGTAGGAAAAAATGATATTGTTTTGTATATTTCCTACTGTAGATCAGCTCCCAAGACGTTATCACCATTTTTGAAAAAAAAATCACTGAAAGCTATTTGACAGCTAAAACAAAAGTTTTTGTCTAGCTTTGAATTAAATTGATCCTGGTGACATTTTCAGACTGATTGTTCTTAGAGGGGAAAATGGCATTCTTTTGATGGATTTTCCTCTCGGATATAATTAAGACGCCATTTCTCTTGTTTTGCCCAACATTTTTGAGAATTATGGATTTAAACTAAGTGCGTGCGGGATTAAAGTATAATTTAAGTCTGAGGAAGTCCGCCGAATTAGAAACAAACCGAAAACTTACTATGCCAAAAATGGGACCAAATGAACAATCTCCCCCCTAATTTAAAAAGGAGATTGTTAACTTGATGAAAAGTACAATTTTGCAGCCAATCAGATTTTGCCTTTTGCTTGACTTTGCCATTTAATTTTAGGGGGCGGGATTGTTCATTTGGGCTATTAAAGGGGGAGAATGCTCAAATGGGCCCAAAAATGTCCAGAGAAAAGTTAATGAAATAATTCCATTACATAACTTAAGCCATGAACGGTGCGGTCACCGGATTTGGAGCTGCATAAATTCAATGGTAATCACAAAATTATTGCATAAGTATTATGTAACTTGTAGAAAGTATCGATTGCGTAATGTTTATTAGCTAGCTTACATTTCGGCTTATTTATACCATGGTTTTAACATCAATTTTCCATTTATGATGTTCTTACCACTTAATTTCCGAAACCTAAAGGGCAAAAAGGTTCTCAATTTTACGAACAATGAACAAGCAATATTTCCTGAGTTAAAAATTGATTTAATCCGTGAAAATCTAATGGACTAAATACGCGCAAAAACATAAGATATATACTCGACACAGGTTGAGGTAAGTCTAAAAAATTGTAAATTTCATTTTTAAGATAGCAGCCATTGCAAAAGACCAGGTCAGAATTAGATGGTTCAATTAGAAGACAAAGCCCTTATTGTTTCGTCGTATAGTTACAAGGTTTGTAGTCTTTGATAAAACAACATTTATACGCAACATTTAGTTAATTTTGAAAGGCAAAAAATGACAATAACCAAAAGAATTACCAACTAACTACAAAAACTAAAACGATTCTTGTTTTTCCATTGATGTTATGAGAAAAAACTTCTATTTATATTTGAACATAAGCGATTCAAGAAAAATTTGCACCATATATGAAGTTAACCATTTGATTTTCTGGTTTAAAAAAATCAAAGCATACAAACTCTCTGATTCAGGTTTTTCGGTTTTTTTTTACTGCTGTGTTCATTTCAAAAGCAGCGGAAATTGGTGTCAATTTTATGGCATGCGAACCAACAAAGAAATCTAATTAACATTTTTTCAATCCAAAAATGGACATCCCTTGAGGACAGAACGGATTACCCATAGCAGCTTAATTCTCTTTTTGAAATATAAGTCTCATTTTTATACTGTATTTCAACATCACTAACATATATCGATCAGAAGATAAGCTTTTTCGGTTCCCAAGTTTTTATTTTATTGAAGTCGTAAAAAGCAGATGCAATTCACAGTCAGCTTTGAAATTCAATCTCCAGTATTTTATCTTAATAAGCCGCATATTGCTTTTTTGCATTATTTACATCACTATCTGAACTTACTTTAGAACATTTTTCTGCCTGAGATAAAACCTTTTATACATCTTTATTTATTGGTAGTTCTTTAAGATTTGTATCTGCTCTACGAAAAGAAACAAACTTTATTCTTTATCTCAAACAGTTAAATTATAAGCTGAACCGGAGAAAACAATAAAAATCAGGTGAGAAAATGATTATTTTTTAAATAAATTTCAAGACAGCTGTCTATTTTTAAGGAGTATTTAAATGGCTAAGTTGAGTATACCACTTTAAAAAAATAAAAATTAACTTTGGTGAGGTCTATTATGAAAGATGATTATTTAATAAAAACCACTTGCACAAGTTTTGCCAGAAAACTCGCACAAATTGGACTTTAAAAATGGTAATTTATTTCGAGTCAATTATTAGAACGTCTCCAGCGGGTACCAAGAAACTTAATAAATTGAGACATGTTAACAACAAAAAAAGACAATTTTTATCTCGTTTTTTTTTCAGAACATGCAATTCAGTACAATTAATTTTTTTTAAAAACTGAAAATTTTCTACTGTTGAGCCCAATACAAATTTCATTCATTTTTCAAAACGTAAGCTTCTTTTTCGACCAAACTAACTTTCGTCTATGCGCAGCCTACTGAATTCACAATTTATTCCTATCTCAATTCCATAAGCAAGAATTCCATGTAACATATTCAGTTTAGTCCAACACCTATTTTACGTAACACACGTTTAAAAACACTGCCTTTTTGCATTGAGAAGAAAACATACAAGAGGAAAAAGTCTGCAAATGCATTTTTATATATCTTCATTTTGCATACCAGAAAAACATATATTGCGCAATATGGCTTCTTTGCTGCCGTTGGCAAACTTATTTGCCATTTACAAATAAAACGCTGAGATAGCCAAAAATTCTCAGCTCTATTATTGATTTCCTGAAAAAAAAATTAAGCAAGATTGAGTTCTTTTTTTGTCCTCTAAGATAAAAATGAACCCAAATACAGCCCATAAAATCAATATTTTCCATTGTTCAAATATTTTCACTTAACATTTTTTAAGATATCGAGCAATTGAGATGCCTCCTTTGAAGCTAGCGTTATTTATAAATTATTATTGATAGCATCTATAAAAATCCAACCATAAAACTTCAATTCTGATCTCCTTCAAAATATTTTGCTATTATTTCAAAGTCAAAAAAAAATTATTCGGTTTATGCTTTTTTGCTTTAAATCACTCATTTCTGCACTCTAAATTGTAACCAGTCAAGTAAGTAATAAAAAGTTTTTTTTTTCATTTTTGATACCAGTTCATTTTATATTAAATTAAGCCAAAAACTATCAACCGGATCCGAAAATTTGAAGATGAAGATGAAGCAAGTTATGAGAAACAAAACAACCTTGCAAACATAAATAGAGATGCATGATTTTTAAAAAAAAAAAACTATCTTTAAGATACATGGAATTTTTTGTGCCTTGTTATTGTTTCACCAAGCACTGAAAAAAAGAAACTTTGTTTTTGGGGTGTGCCTTATTTTTTTTCCAGCTTTTTCAGTCATGATTCGAAAAATGAAAAAAAAATCCAACAAGTTTTCTGAGTGGTCAGGAAACTCAGTTCTCAATTTTTTGCTTTTTAGTCTAATTTCGAGGACAAAAAGCATGAAAGCGTGTTATAACAGGAGAAACTTTTTGTTATGCCGTAGAAAGTATAGTTTTATTCCAGGAAAATAAGTTTTCGAAGTTTAATTTAGCGCTTCCTTCCCAATGAAAAAACTTTTAAAATCAAATTTCAAGCTTTGAAAAACTTAGATTTAAAAAAGAAAAAAAAAACTTTGAAGATTCATTCAGCGCTTTCTTGACAGTTGAAAAATATTTCAGAAAGAAAACTGTTTTTAAATTTTTTCAACTTTTGTTTGTTGTTCTTTTTGAAAGACAAATGTAGTCATTTGATTCAAATGATAACGTTCTAAGCCTTTCTGAAATCCTTGTTCCAACGCATAGAAAAATGACCAAAACCTTCGGTTTTTTTAAATAACTGTAGTACGAACATTCTGTGCAACTTGCACATCAAGTGGCTTCTCTTGTTTGATTAAGCAATAAAATACATCTGTAAAAAGGGCGACACTTTTGCTCAAAGGCATATCGCACTATCGGTCTGAATTTTTACCTGTTTTAAGCAAATACACGAATTTTATATTAAAACGACTGAAATCTACAGCTCATTAAGTTTTTTGCGTTTTTTACCACATCAATCTCCCTATTTCTAAATGAGCAGAAAAAATATTTCAAAAAGAAGTCATAACATTTTCTAAAAATCTAAAATTTTTATAATTAAAAAAACTCAAATGTTTATTACTCTTTACTTGAATCGTAGCAGCCAAAATATTCTGCGCTATGTGTAATACAAACCGTATACACATGGTAGCCTTATATATTAGCATGTTCCATTTACTGACAGACACATGCATTTTTTTAAACATCCACAGTGAGTAACAGATGCGTCCCTCTATATACTGATTGGAAACTCACTTCAAATGTGATAAATGCTATATATCATAAAAACCGGTT